TGTCCAATTTATGTAGTGGTTTGCTGGATTCAACATTTTTTGTGTTTTCTCGTAGGCTCGGTAGTTGAAACCACCCAAGGCTAATGCTTTAGTTTTTGTTTTATTTATGTTGCTTGCTGACACCTCTTCAAATCTGTGTAATATTTTAAAAATTTCATTAATGGATTCAGTGTTTCTTGCAAACATAATTGTGTCATCAGCATATTGCATTACCTTGAGGTTGTTTTTACTACCGGGCAACGGAATGCCATCTATTTTATTACATTTCCTAATTTCGTTTGCTAGGGGCTCAACTGCAAGGCAATAAAGCATAAGGGAAATAGGGTCACCTTGTCGTACTCCTCTATTTACTTTAAAAGGTGAACTCATTGACCCGTTGTTTAGTATTATTGACTGGTTGTTTTTCAATGTGTTTTTTATGGCATTAACAAAATTTTTTCCAAGATTTAATTTTTTTAAGGTCATGAAGATAAAGTCTCGATCAATTTTATCGAAGGCCTTTTCCTGGTCTATTGTTAAAAGTATTGATTCAAGGCTTTTCTCATTTGTATACTGAATTAGGTCTCGAACCAGAAATATATTCGAAAATATATTTCTTCCAGGGACTGAACAGGTTTGGGATGTTTGAAGGACAATTTTGAGTACTTGTGAGAGTCTTAGTGCAAGTGCTTTGGTGATGATTTTGTAATCAGCACATAATAGAGATATGGGACGCCAGTTTTTCAGGTCTAGAGGGTCTCCATTTTTGGGTAGGAGACTTATCAGTGCTGTTCTTTGAGACCAGCTGAGTTCTCCTTTTTTTTCAAATATATTAAGATTGGCGATTTTGGTAAATTCCTCTCCGTAGATTTCCCAGCACTCTTGGTAGAATTCTGCTGGTAGTCCATCTATGCCTGGGGTTTTTCCTTTGTTTAAACTCTTGACCGCATTATATAGCTCACTGCTTGTAAATTTTGAATTAAGCGTACTGTTCTGCTCAGAATTTAGGGTAACTATGACGTTTTCAAGAAACTTTTGCTGTTTTTCCACGTTAACTTTTGGTTTTTGATATAGTGTTTGGAAGTATTCTCTAATTATTCTTATAATGTTGATTTTATCAGTAAAGACATTTTCACCTTCTTTTAGTTCTTGGATTGTTTTCTTAGCTTGGTTATGTTTCTCCATTTGAAATAGAATTTTGGACGGTTTTTCCCCCTCCTCGATTAAAAGTTGTTTGGTTCTAATGAATACTCCATTGTTAGTGGGTAGCTCTTTAATTTGATTTTTAAGATTTTTAATTTTATCATGATCTTTATTGATTTTTCTTTGTTCTATCTCTATTTGACTTTCCAAGTGTATTTTTTGTTGTTTAATTTGCTTTTGTTTATACTTAGAAAAGTGAATAGCTTTTTCTTTTATTTTATATTTAATAACGTCCCACCATTGGTTGTGGTTCTCATAGTTTTTTGTTTTTTGTTGAATTTTTTCGAAATCTTTTTTTAGTACTTCTTTAAAGTTAGGGTCCTTTAACAGGTTTACATTTAAATGCCAGTATCCGGGACCTCTTTTGGGACTGGTTGTTTTGGGGATTTGGCATAGAAAAGCTTTGTGGTCACTTAAGTTGATGTCAATAAAGTTACACGAGATTTTTAATTTTGGGGTTATTTCTGTGTAAATTCGGTCTATACGGCTCCTATACGAGTTGTCAGCTTTCTCATAACTAAAACTTTGCGTTAGCGGATTAAGGAACCTGTATATGTCTTTTAGGTTGAATTTTTCGGTAAAGTTTCGAAGATTGGTTCTTCCTAAAGTGTTGTTTTTGTTCATTTGGTCGCCTCCGTTTCTATCTAGACATGGATCTTCAACCATGTTGAAATCACCCATCAGAAACATACGATCACAGGTTTTAGCATGTCTATTTAAATGACTATAAAAGAATTCTTTCTCTTGGGGGACATTGGGTCCGTACACATTTATTACCCTCTGTCTTGTGTTATTTAGAACAATTGTGGTAGCAAGTATCCTACCGTAGCTGTCAAAGGTACATTCTCTAAAGTTTGTTTTTGATTTGATGAGAATTGCAACTCCCCTTTCTCTACTCTTGCCGTTGTTCCAGAGCGAGGATCCTCCTGTTTTTTTTTCCCATTCTTTGGCCCATCTAGCTGTTTTTTCATTTATTCCATGTGTTTCTTGAATGCAAAAAACATGACAGTCTAATGTATTAAATAGATTCATTAAATTATGCCTTTTGGCATCTTCGTTAAGGCCATTAACGTTAAGTGTTAAGATTTTAAAAGCCATATTTTATGTTATGCGGACGAAAAAAGAAGTTTTTCTTTTTGTTATTATTATTTTTATTTCATTTTATTTTATATTTTTATTTTTATTTTTTATTATTATTTATTTATTTATTTTTTTTTTTAATTTTTCTTTGTTTTTTATTTTTATTGTGTTTTTAGTTTATATCTTTTTATGAGGTTTAATTGTTAAATTTTGTATTTTTATTGGTATTTTATTTTTAGAATAACCATGATTAAAATAGTTAAGTGATTCTTTGTTAGAACGTTTAGAATCTTCATATTTTGTTTTGTCGATGCTTGTTTTTCTTTTTTTTGTTTTATCATTAAATTCAGTATTCTGGTCCATGTCCTCTTCGTCTGTTTGAATATGAGTTTGTGTGTTTTCCTCCTGATAAGGTTTATTGATTTCTTGTATTGTTTGTGTGTCAGCATCAGCAGCAGCTGAGACCATCGGCGATGTTAGACACTCTAAATGTCAAAAAATTTCAATTATTTTCATTCTGGGCCGCGCTCAGCAGTAGTGCAAAGCCGAGGCAACCCGTGGTCAGGGCAAGGTAAACCTATGATCCCATGACCTAATGCCAAAAATCAGATTAATATATGAGCCGGACTGTGCCGGCGTACCAGATATTAAACTGATAAGAACAGATACTTTTTTTTTTTTTTTTTTTTTTTTTTTAACCTTTTTAGGGGTTATTAATTTTATATTTTTTATTTGTTTTATTAATATTTTAAAGCAATTGTTTTTAGTTATTTTGTAAGTGTTAAAATCTGCTGATATAGTTATTTTACTTTTTTTGTATTATAATTTTTAAAGTTTTTATTTTGATTTTAGTTGGTTTTATATTTTTAATTTGTATTTTTATAGTTTTATATTTTTATTTTGTTTTATTTTCATTTGATTATATATTTTTATTAGTTTTTATTTTTTGTTTATTCGTTAAACCTTTGCCTTTTTTGTTTTTTCATTTGGTTTAATTTGAACTTTTGCTTTCTTTCTTCTTGTTTTAATTCATGATCTTCAACAAAAAGATCAAATTCTTTTTTCCGTTGGTCCCATTCTGCTTTTTTATGAGCTGCATACTTTTTTGATTCTTCAAATGAACATTCATCACTGTCATGGTTTTTGAATTCTTTTTTATTATAGGAGTACATTTCTCCTGAATCCATATTTTTAAAACTAGATGGCGTTAATATGCCTTGTTTTTTTTGTTCGTTTTCAAGTGCTCTGTAGTTCCTGCGTTCTGATTCAAACTGGTCCCATTCTACTTTTTTATAGATCTTTAGTTTTTCTAGTTCTTCTTCAGTACAGTTATATCTGTCAAAATTTTTAAATATTTTCCAGTTTTGTTCTACCATTTCTAAATGGTTCAAACATTCGAGTTCGTCAGGTATATTTATTTCCCCGTCTTCCAATTCTTCTGTTGTTTTATCTTTGTTACTACATGCAGTTGTATTATCGTTGTTACATTGAGTATTATAAGGTGCTAATTCATTTAAGTTCGCAACCTTTTCTGGTTCTGTTGTAACTATAGTTGGAATAGATACATCCTCATTACTTAATGGTACGTTAGCTTCTTCTTTCTCTTCTCCAGAGCTGTTTTCTTTTTCTGACGATAATGTCTCTTCTGTTTCAGGTATTACTCTTTTTGGTGTTTCATTTTTGTTTTTATTATTTTCTGGTTGCTCTTGTCCCGTATAGACAATTCTAAGATTGTACCCTTTTAATCTTAGGTTCCTTGGTATAGGTTTTAATAGGTTGTCAATTATGACAACTAGTATTCCCGAGAAGTACGGTGTTTTATTCTTCGGTGTTTTTTTGAACACTGGTCTTGTGTGAATATGTTTGCCATATCCTAACTCTTCCAGCGCTACTCCCACTGGAAATCCCTTTTTTTCTAGCGGTAATCCAATAACGGATACTGCAATTCTTCTACTAATATTTCTAGTAGGAGTTGAATTGTAAAAATTGTGTATTACACCTTTAACACAAAGACCATTTTCTTGGAGCGATGACTTTGCTTTGTCGGTTTTCATGATCAGCTCAATCATCGTACCGTTACGAATAATCTGGAAAGCTTCCAGCTCTTTGTCTAACCCAGCATCTTCAATTGCCGTTAAGACATCGAGTTCAGTAATGTTTTGAGTTATATTACTCAAAAGAGTCCTACTTAGAATGCTGTACCTAATAGGTTGTTTCTTATTTGTTGCCGATACAGCTTGACAATAGCTTTTCTTGATGGCAGTAATGCCTATGTTGTCAGTATCTATTTCTATTAAACTAGAACTCATATTGGATATACACTACGTGTATTATATACCCTTAATACTTTCGGTCTCTTAATAAACTCTTAAGATACACCCGACCTTCTACAAGCTAAAGTTGCCGTACCGGCAACCCGTTGTAGGGGTAGGGTAAACCCTTCGAATATTTAGGAGGCACGTAGGCCTCACCAAAAGTAATCTCTAACTCGATTGTACACCTAATGGACTAAAATCAAAAACAGATACTACACTTGATCTTAGCCATTAGGCCGAGAAGCGATAACTGACCACTGCAGACATAGTCGGACAGACGCCGTCTTCAACAATGTACTTGTGGTTTGCATTAGTACGTCAAATCATTTTTGTCGTCGTCATCATCAGCAGCATCATCATCAGCAGCAGCTGAGACCATCGGCGATGTTAGACACTCTAAATGTCAAAAAATTTCAATTATTTTCATTCTGGGCCGCGCTCAGCAGTAGTGCAAAGCCGAGGCAACCCGTGGTCAGGGCAAGGTAAACCTATGATCCCATGACCTAATGCCAAAAATCAGATTAATATATGAGCCGGACTGTGCCGGCGTACCAGATATTAAACTGATAAGAACAGATACTACACTTGATCTTAGCCATTAGGCCGAGAAGCGATAACTGACCACTGCAGACATAGTCGGACAGACGCCGTCTTCAACAATGTACTTGTGGTTTGCATTAGTACGTCAAATCATTTTTGTCGTCGTCATCATCAGCAGCATCATCATCAGCAGCAGCTGAGACCATCGGCGATGTTAGACACTCTAAATGTCAAAAAATTTCAATTATTTTCATTCTGGGCCGCGCTCAGCAGTTGTGCAAAGCCGAGGCAACCCGTGGTCAGGCAAGGTAAACCTATGATCCCATGACCTAATGCCAAAAATCAGATTAATATATGAGCCGGACTGTGCCGGCGTACCAGATATTAAACTGATAAGAACAGATACTTTTTTTTTTTTTTTTTTTTTTTTTTTTTTTTTCTTTTTTTTTTTTTTTTTTTTTTTTTATTTATTTATTTTTTTTTTTTAAATGGTAAAAGTTAATTTGTTTGTTGTGTTATCACAAATAGCATTGTTAATTGAGAATATATCGTGGAAAGTGTTAATGTCTGTTTTTCTAAGGTATTTTTCATATTGTATTGTCCATATATATTTTATTTCTCTTTTTATGTTTGCTATAATGTTTGTTGTAGTTATGTTAGTATTTTCCTTAACAAGCATGTTCCTTGCTTTCCACAATTCTGATGTAATGATGTGTGTTAGGGTTGTTATAATTAAGGCTATGTTGCTTTTTGGATTTTTATCTTTTGTATTAATATGAAAAAGAGTGTGGACAGCGTTAAATTTCTTTGATGGGTCTAGTTTCCCATATACGTTTTTATATTTTTTCCATATTGTTCTTGCTTTGGGACAAGCTATAAATGTATGGAGTGTGGTTTCTTTTTGGTTGCAGCTTTTGCATTTATCATTTCCTCGTCCTCGGTTTTTACGCCATTTTTTTTGTTTTTCTAGTGTTGGCAGGCTGTCTGTGTGTATTCTCCATAATGTATTTTTACTTGGTCCCTGAGCGTATGATTTGAAGTTTTTTTCCCATATTTTTTTCCAAGGCATTTGTGTTTGTAACTGGTCTTCCCATTTTTTTTCAATAGTTTTTATTGCTTCAGATTCTTTATTTTTTATTAAGTGTGTATATAGATTTTTAGTCTTTTTAGGATTGACTTGAAATATTGAATTATATATAGATAAGAGCATATAGATAAGAGCATATAGATAAGAACAGATACTTTTTTTTTTTTTTTTTTTTTTTTTTTTTTTTTTTAATTAAATTTTTAAAGTTTTTATTTTGATTTTAGTTGGTTTTATATTTTTAATTTGTATTTTTTTTTCTAGTTTTATATTTTTAATTTGTTTTCTTTATATTTGATTATATATTTTTTTTAGTTTTTATGTTTTTGTTTCTTCGTTAAACCTTTGTCTTTTTTGTTTTTTTATTTGGTTTAATTTGAGCTTTTGCTTTCTTTCCTCTTGTTTAACTTCATGATCTTCAACAAAAAGATCAAATTCTTTTTTTCGTTGGTCCCATTCTGCTTTTTTATGAGCTACATACTTTTTTTTTTCTTCAAATGAACATTCATCGATGTCAAGGTTTTTGAATTCTTTCTTATTATAGGAGTACATTTCTCCTGAATCCATATTTTCAAAAACAAATGGCGTTATTTTGCCTGTTTTTTTTTGTTCGTTTTCAAGTGCTCTGTAGTTTCTGCGTTCTGATTCAAATTGGTCCCATTCTACTTTTTTATAGATCTTCAGTTTTTGTAGTTCTTCTTCAGTGCAGTTGTATCTGTCGAAATTTTTAAATAATTTCCAATTATGTTCTACCATTTCTAAATGGTTTAAACATTCGAGCTCGTCAGGTATATTTATTTCCCCATCCTCTAAATCTTCTGTTGTTACATCTTTTTTGTTACTACATGTAGTTGTATTATCGTTGTTACGTTCAGTATTACAAGGTGTTAATTCATTTAAAATCGCCACCTTTTCTGGTTCTGTTGAAACTATATTTGGAATAGAGACATCCTCATTACTTAATGGTATATTAGCTTCTTCTTTCTCTTCTCCAGAGCTGTTTTCTTTTACCGAAGAAGATGTCACTTCTGTTTCAGGTATTACTATTTTTGATGTTTCACTTTTATTATTTTCTGGTAGCTCTTGTCCCGTATAGACAATTCTAAGGTTGTATCCCTTTATTTTTAGGTTCCTTGGTATAGGTTTTAATAGGTTGTCAATAATGACAACAAGTATTCCCGAGAAGTACGGTGTTTTATTCTTCGGTGTTTTTTTAAAAACTGGTCTTGTGTGAATATGCTTACCATATCCTAACTCTTCCAGTGCTAATCCTACTGGAAACCCCTTTTTTTCTAACGGTAATCCAATAACGGATACAGCAATTCTTCTACTAATATTTCTAGTAGGAGTTGAATTGTGAAAATTGTGTATTACACCTTTAACACAAAGACCTTTTTCCTGGAGTAATGACTTTGCTTTGTCAGTTTTCATGACCAGCTCAATCATCGTTCCGTTCCGAATAATCTGGAAAGCTTCTAGTTCTTTGTCTAACCCAGCATCTTCAATTGCCGATAAGACATCGAGCTCATTAATGTTTTGAGTTAAATTACTCAATAGAGTCCTACTTAGAATGCTGTACCTAAAAGGTTGTTTCTTATTTGTTGCCGATACAGCTTGGCAATAGCTTTTCTTGATGGCAGTATTGCCTATGTTGTCAGTATCAATTTCTAATAAACTAGAGTTCATATTAGTAATACACTACGTGTATTATATACCCTTAATACTTTCGGTCTCTCAATAAACTTTTAAATAACACCCGACCTTCTACAAGCTAAAGTTGCCTTACAGGCAACCCGTTGTAGGGGTAGGGTAAACCCTCAGAAGACTATAGGAGGCACGTAGGCCTCACCAAAAGTAATCTCTAACTCGATTATACACCTAATGACTAAGAATCAAGAACAGATACTACACTTGATCTTAGCCATTAGGCCGAGAAGCGATAACTGACCACTGCAGACATAGTCGGACAGACGCCGTCTTCAACAATGTACTTGTGGTTTGCATTAGTACGTCAAATCATTTTTGTCGTCGTCATCATCAGCAGCATCATCATCAGCAGCAGCTGAGACCATCGGCGATGTTAGACACTCTAAATGTCAAAAAATTTCAATTATTTTCATTCTGGGCCGCGCTCAGCAGTAGTGCAAAGCCGAGGCAACCCGTGGTCAGGGCAAGGTAAACCTATGATCCCATGACCTAATGCCAAAAATCAGATTAATATATGAGCCGGACTGTGCCGGCGTACCAGATATTAAACTGATAAGAACAGATACTTTTTTTTTTTTTTTTTTTTTTTTTTATATAAATTTTTATTTTGTTTTGTTAATTTTTTTTTATTATATGTTTTATTTATTTAAAATTTTATTACTGTTATTAGATTTTTGAGTTTTTATGTTTTTTAAGTTGTTGTATAAGTTTGCTGTGTTTTTAAGTAATTAATATCAATAGTTGATAATTGTTTTATAATTGTGGTGTTAATTTTCGTTTTTTTGTTGATTGAAATAATTGCTTTTTTAGGTTACGTTGTTCCTGTTTTATTTCATGGTCTAGAATAAACTGAGAGTGTTCCTTTCCACGTTGTTTCCATTCGGATATTTTTAAAACTTGATATTTTCTTTTTTCGGATATATCCGCAGTTTTCATGTCAAAGTTTTTCAATTCTCTCATATTGAAACCATACATTTCCCCTGAGTCCATTTGTTCGTAATTATCTGGTAGTAATCTACCAACTTGTTTTTCCCATATGTCTAGTTTATCATAAACTTTAACTCTTGCTATTTCAAATTGTTGCCATTCCAGTTTTTTATACTTTTTGAATTTATTTAGTTCTTCTTTAGTGCAATGAAGCCTATCGAAGTTTTTAAATTGTTTCCAGTTATATTCAATTTTTCCAATATGTGACATTTTTAAGAAATCTTCAGCGATCTCTACATCATCTAGACTATCTTCTTTACTAAAAACATTTTCCTCAATTTCCTTTTCAATTTCGTTACTCTTATCTATTTTCCTTACATTACTGATCATCTCATCATCATCGCCTTTTTTTTCTTCATCATCTTTATCATTTAGTTTATTTTCGTCACTTTTACTCTCATCGCCCTCAACCTCATCGTTACTTTTATCGCCTTTTCCCTCTTCTATACCTCCAATAACAATCTCACTCGTACTCCCTTTACTATAATCTTCGCTGTCAGCATAATTTTCGTTTTCTTTTGCTTTGAAGTCCTTTGTATGTTCATCTTTCGTTGAACATTGGATTATTTCTGATGTTTCTTCTAAGGACTCATCTAAGGTTAAATCATTATGTGTTTGTGCTTTATTGTTAGCTTTAGTAATTTTTTTTGTTACATTATTTTGGGCTTTAGAACCTATGTCTTCTTGTCCGGTATAAATCGCTCTAACATCATATCCTTTTAGGTTAATTAGTCTAGGAACAGGTTTTACTAATCCTTCCATAGTAGTTACTATAATCCCTGAGTAGTATGGTGTTTTCTTTTTAGGTGTTTCTTTAAAAATAGGTCTAGTCGTTAGATGTTTCCCGTATCCTAGCTCCTCTAGTATTTTTCCGGCCGGGAAACTACTTTTTTCAATTGGCAAACCTAGTATAGAGATAGTGACTCGTTTACTAATGTTTCTACTTGGAGTGGAGTTATAGAAGCGTTGCCTTATACCGTTGATTATTAAACCTTTGTCAAGAAGCGTTTCCTTGGCTTCTTTGGACTTCATGACAACTTCAATAATAGTGCCATTTCGGATTTGTTGAAATCCGTATAAGTATTTGTCATATCCAGCATCTTCAATTGCTGATAGAATTTCAAAGTCACTATATTTAGTGGATGGTTTGCATAAGATGGTATTTTTTAGTGAAGTATATTCATTTATTGGGTTTTTAATGTTATCATCATGTGTATAGATTTTACTAACAGCATGTGCATAGCTTTTATTAGGCGCTTTAATAGCGGTTGTTTCAGTATCTATTTCCATAGTTTAG